TTTAAAAATCACTCACCTTGAAGTAACAACTTAGATTTTGAAGAAGATGAAAACAAAATGATTCCAAGCTTGATCTCCTGTTGATTCTTTCTCTACGTCTCACAACTCTCAAATGAGGCAAGAAGATTGCCTCTTCACCAAAACTTCATATATATACTTTCTTCATTTGGAATGTCGGTCTAACCCCTTCCCCAATCATATGCATGCATACATAAATATAATTTTATGGACACACATGCACATGCATGTCTATATCATGCAGACTTACACACACACACACACACACACACACACACATATATATATATATATATATATATCCACATATTTTGCATATATTCCAAGTATGAAATATACATACTTACGCATTTTAACCCATGTAAACACGTATTCATATAAACAATTAACTCACATAATAAATACCTTAGGTAATGATCAGGACTCGGTTATCACACTTTATTTATATTTGGTGTGATTGCATTTGATGATGATATTTGATACACATAAGGATTATCAAAATGACTTAATTAAATAATTTTTAACATTCAAATAACGAATAGTGAGAAATGAGAAATTATATTTTATTCATTTTATGTATATTCACAGTGTAAAATGAAGATTGTTAGTGAAGATGTAGACGATGAAGGTGACAATGGTGTTGTTACACAAGTTGATCTAGATTTGAAGAAAGATATGTGTAGTATATGGAAATTGAACTAACTTTATATTATTTATGTCTTTGTGATGTATTCATGTATAATATACATTTCATGAAAAGTCATAGTCGTACAGGAAAATGAAAACAATACAATCGATAATACTATGCACGACATAAGGGTATTAACAAAAGGCGAAAATTAGCTAACGGTAAAGGAAGTAGTCAATCTACAACACCTGTACCGATTTCACTGCAACGGACACAACACCAGCTAGTGCAACACATGTCACCAATTTCAATTGAGATCATGCGATTAAATCATGTTATGTGTTTAATTTGATTAATATGTGGCATCAGAGCATGGTTTTAATTTATGTAATATGCCCTAATAATCATGAACCCTAATTTTTTTATTTCATGATATGCGTACATACATATGCTTCTGTTTTCGATAGCCGCTTTCATCTTTTACATGAGAAAAATGAATCCTCTTTTTCTATTAATAATGATATATAAATGCTTTTGTATTTCTTGGTTTTCCAAGACAAAAATTAAAAAAAAGGGGAGGGGCAGGGCAAACCCACTGTTGTCGCCACTTTCATCTTTACATGAGAAAGTGATTTCCCCTATCTTTTTTTCTTTATTGTGATGTAACATATTTCATTTATCCAATTCCTTTTTCGTAATCGGGGTTTTATTGGAATTCAAATCATATGACAAATTTGGTCGTTGTTTTCATTCTTTAAAAAAAGTGATATAGATGTACCAATCACAATCACAGATTCACTTTTATTAAAACCTCACTTGGTTCTAATTTATAAGATGTTGTACCAATTCTATGATGTACATACTTGCATTATGTCATATGAATATTTATCTTCAAGATTTTATGAAAACCTCTTGTCCAAAATATTCATTATCGACTTGAGTAATCGGCCCAACGGAAGATTGCTGAAAGTAATGTCTAATAATGTCGGATTAGAAATTGTTTAAATTGTCACTCAATGAACCCAAAGGCGACTTGATTGATAATTTAATTGATGAATTATTAGCATAATATTCTCTTATTACATCTCTTCCTAAAGGTGATATGTGATAATTGTGCATGCTTAGTTTAGTTATGGGTATCTCAAGTTTGGTTGTCAACCGAACCAACGTGAGGTTGATAACCGGACATGATATCTTATAAAAACCTATTATTTTGGTGTTTATAATAGGTTATATGTTTACACTGATATGCTTCATTGATATGTTTATATCATCTTAGATCATTTACCTTCATCTATGCATACATCTAATATCCCTATTATTTCAGCATCCACTTTAACACCTCGTTACGGCATTGAACCATTGACTGGTACAAACTTTGCCACATGGAGGGACTCTGTGAAATAGGAGTGATGGATCTTGATCATGCATTACGCACTGATCCTCCCGCCGCACTTCATGATAGGAGTACGGCGGAGCAAAAGCGTCTGTATGAACAGTGGGAGCGATCAAATCTCATGTCCCTCATGATAATTAAGAATTCCATCTCTGTAGCTATTCGTGGAGCCATTTCTGACTCAGACAACGCGAAAACCTACTTAGACTCTGTGGAAGAACAGTTTAAGGGTATCTCTAAGGCTCATGCAAGTACACTAATTCTCAAGATGTTAACTTCTAAATATGATGGTATTAGTGGTGTACGTGAGCACATCATGATGATGAGTGATATGGCAAATAAGCTCATAGGCATGGATATGGAGATTAGTGAAGGATTTATGGTTCACTTCATAATGACTTCGCTTCCTACACAGTTTGGTCCTTTTAAGATCAACTATAATACACAAAAGGAGAAGTGGAAGATGAGCGAACTAATCGCCATGTGTGTACAAGAAGAAAAGCACCTTAAATTTGAAAAATCCGATGTTGCTCATGTCACCACTATAACTCCATCTAAAAGGAAGGGTAAAATCCTAGAAGGGGAAAGTTCTAAAGTCCGAAAAACAGGTGCAAGTACAAGCTCAGGTGTGAGTAAATTTAAGGGTACTCCCCGTTGCAATTTTTGCCACAAGAAAGGGCACTTCCAACGGGATTGCGCTAAATTCAAAGCATGATTAACAAAGAAAGGTAATCTTTATACTTGTATGATTTATGAATCTCTTAACATTAATGTTCCTTTAAATACATGGTGGATTTATTCTGGTTCCATGGTACACATTTCAAATTCTTTACAGGGATTCTGTACAATCTGGAAATTGGAAAGAAACCAAAGAACGATTAAAGTCGGGAATGGAGCTGATTTAAACGTGGAAGCTGTAGGAACCTTACCTTTATTACTAGAAGGAGGTTTCTGTTTAAATCTGTATGTATCGAGCATTACTCGGAATCTAGTATCATTACCTAAGTTAAATGATTAGGATATGCATTTACTTTTAATGAAGGTAAAGTTACTATTTATTTAAATTTTGATATTGCTGGTTATGGTTGTTTAGAGGGAAACCTTTTTAAATTATGTTTAGACGATCAACTCTCAAAATCTTTATTATCATTCAATGTGAATGATAACTTGAATAAGATAAAGCGAGATATTGAAAATTCATCCATGTTATGGCACAAACGCTTAGGTCATATATCACGAGATAGAATGTTAAGACTCGTGAAAGATCAAGTGTTACCGAATCTCGATTTTTTAGATTTTGATAAATGTGTTAAATGTATTAAAGGAAAAATGATAAAAGGGAATAAGAAGGGTTCCACAAGGAGTTCTCGGTTATTGGAAATAATCCACATCGACATTTGTGGACCTTTTCCCACGGACATAAGTGGAAATAAATCATTTATTACCTTTATTGATGACCATTCATGCTATACGTACTTGTACCTAATTAAAGAGAAATCTGAAGCACTTGAAATGTTTAAAACATTTAAGGCAGAAGTTGAGAATCAACTTGACCGCAAAATTAAGGTAGTAAGATCGAAAATGGGGGGTGAGTTTTATGGTAGACATACAGATGTGGGTCAAGTTCCAGGGTCTTTCTTTGACTTTTGTAAAGATCACAGGATAGTGAACCAATATACCATGCTAGGCACACCTCAGCAAAACGGAGTGGATGAGAGGAGAAATAAAAAACTTATGGACATGGTACGAAGTATGTTGGCAAACACTAACCTACCTCAATTTTTATGGACCGAGGCATTAAAAACGACGGTTCACATCCTAAATAGAGTTCCTTCTAAAGTTGTTCCTAAAACTCTTTTTGAAATATGGGCAGGGAGGAAACCAAGCTTAAGGTATCTAAGGGTGTGGGGTTGTCCGACAGAAGCTAAAGTGTACAATCCTGTATTAAGAAAACTTGATATGAAGACCATAAGTTGCTTCTTCATTGGTTATCTCGAACGATCAAAGGGATATAGATTCTATTGTCCTTCACATACTACTCGGATAATAGAAACACGACATGCCGTATTTCTTGAGAATTTTGAAAATGATTATAGTATTGAGAATTGTGGTATAGATCTTCAAGAGGTTCGTGAAGAAACACCAATGATACATGTGTCTGTTTCGATAAATACACCACTTGAAGACTCCAATGTTCAACCTATGTCTCATAATGAAAGTGAAACAAACTTAGAGACAAATGTTGAAATTTCACACATTGAGAAAACTCAAGAAATTAATATCGAGCCTCAAGAAACTCACCAGCCTTTAAGAAGATCATAAGGAACTAGGCGACCCGCCGATTTTGACGATTATGTTACCTACTTAAATGAGGTCAATCTTGACTTAGAAAAATGTAACGATCCTATATCCTATAATGACGCAATAAATAGCAAACAATCTTCTCATTGGAATGAATCTATGATTGATGAACTTGATTCTATGAGTAAGAACGATGTATGGGAACTTGCTGAATTACCAAAGGGTGCGAAACCCGTAGGATGCAAGTGGGTCTTTAAGACTAAACTTGACCTAAAAGAAAACATCGAACGTTATAAAGCCTGATTGGTTGCTAAAGGATATACTCAAAAGGAAGGTATAAATTATCAGGAAACATTTTCTTCTGTTTTAAGAAAAGATTCCTTACGAAACGTGATGGCCCTCGTAGCTCATTTTGACTTAGAGTTACATCAAATGGACGTTAAGACCACTTTTCTTAATGGAGATTTACATGAAGATGTTTATATGGCCCAACCTGAAGGGTTTAAGATTAAGGGTCAAGAGCATCTTGTTTGTAAACTGAAAAAGTCAATCTATGGGCTTAAATAGGCATCCCGTCAATGGTACTTAAAATTTGATGAAGTCATGAAGAAAAATGGCTTCATTAAGAATCAAGTGGATCAATGTATATACCTCAAGATGAGTGGGAGGAACTTTGCTATACTTGTCCTTTATGTCGATGACATTCTATTGGCAAGTAATAATATTGATTTGTTGCATGAATCAAAACGCTTTCTTTCACGTCAATTTGACATGAAAGATCTTGGAGAAGCCTCTTATGTCATTGGAATAGAGATCCACCGAGACCGTTCCATGGGGACATTGGGATTGTCCCAAAAGGGGTACATTGAGCGTGTACTTGATCGATACAATATGCAACATTGCTCTCCCTCAGTAGCTCCTGTAGTTAAGGGCGATGTTTTCAGCTCTTTTCAATGTCCAAAAACAGAGGTAGAAAAGGAAAAAATGAGGTTAATACCTTATGCTTCTGTAGTCGGAAGCTTGATGTATGCTCAAGTTTGTACACGTCTCGACATCGCTTATATAGTTGGTATGCTAGGCAGGTATCAATCTAATCGAGGCCTAGATCATTGGAAAACCGCTAAGAAGGTGTTGTGATATCTTCAAGGGACTAAAGATTACAAACTAACTTTTAAAAGAACGAATGATCTAGAAGTTGTTGGATTTTCCGATAAAAAGTCGACTTCGGGATATATTTTCATGCTGTCAGGTGGGCCTATTTCGTGGAGGAGTCATAAGAAGCAATTAACGATAACTTCAACTATGATGGCAGAGTATGTTGCTGTTTATAATGCGACATGCCATGGAATGTTATTAAGAAACCTTATAGGAGGACTCAAAATCGTAAACTCTATATCGGGGCCATTGAAGATATATTGTGACAATTCTGCAGCCGTAAGCTTTTCAAATAGTAATAGTTCAAGTGGGGCTGAATTATATCTCGATACAAAGTACTTATTTGCCGAGAACGAGTAGAGGAAAACAACCTTTGTATCGAATATATAAGCACTCATGACATGCTAGCGGATCCGATGACGAAAGGTCTTCCACCCAAAGTATTTCAAGAACATGTTGTCAAAATGGGTTTAGGACGAGATCTTATATGAATTTATTTCTAGCATATTGCTTTAGTAAGTTTTATGTACATAAGACAAGTACTTGATTATAATTTCCTCATATATTATTGAAGTTTGTCTATAATTATGAATTGTGCGCATTTAGGTTCATTCATAGACAACTATGTTATTTACCACATTATGTCTTTGTGATTTTGACTTTAAATATTTTTGATGCTCTGTATATATGTCTTAATATGATTGATAGGGTTCTCATGTCGATGTTGACATGTATGAATGTATCTTTCTGCTATGGTACAAGTACAAAGTATCATGAGTATTGATTCAACCAAACTTATGATGAATCTAATCATAAATGGTCACTAGTCCAAGTGGGAGAATGTTAGAATATTTCCTATTTTATGTGGCCTTAGGACCATTTATGTTATAAATTGTGGGAAATAAAATATTTATGATTTATACCCTTAATTATACCATCATGACATAATTAGTTACTTTATGGAAGTAACTGCCATATAAATGAGATGGTCAAAAATTGTTTCTCTTTAATGCTTTCATACGTGTAGGGGACATTCAAGGAGAGATCAAAAAAATTCTCTCTCCCAAAAACACCATAATCTTGTCCTCTTAATCTATCCATCAAGAAGAAGACATAATAACAAGAACAAGAATTCGAAGTCATATCGCAACAATGGTTTCTTCTTCGTCATTGAACAATCCTATCAAGATTGGCTTTCCAAGTAAGTTTTAAGTTTTACGTTTTCAATTGAGATCATGCGATTAAATCCTGTTATGTGTTTAATTTGATTAACATGATGATCATCATCTGAGCCAACACCAAATTTGCGTCAAACTAGTTAGTTTCTTAATTTCTTTGACTTGTTCAAGATATATTATAGTAGGTCTTAACAATCTGGTAGAGGCAATCGGTCTGGATGAAAGCAGTAGAAGATCGAACAGAGAGAAGTTTTAGGATGGATAACTCGACAACCTCTTTATAGAGACCATTCCACTTGCAGGTAGAATCAAATGAGATGGAATATAAGGGAGAAGAGATGCAGGTGATGGCAGAAGCGGAGGCACGAAATTTGGATAAGAAGGTCCAACTCTTCACCACCATACTTTGTTATAAAATAAAATAAATAAAACATTGTATATGAACAAAAAAATTCTTTTAACATAAAGAAATTTAAATCTTACTATCCTATGCTAACATATGAACCTTCCAATTGCTAAAATAATCGTCAATCCATTTTCTTATGAAATATGCTTTAAATAAAACTATTAGTCAAAACTTGAATACATCCGTTTTCTTTTCTCTTGAATAAATAATATGTGGTTCATTTGATGAGTGATCAATTGAACTCACGAATGAATCAAGAAACCCGTTAGGGAGACTTTAATTTACTTTAATATCAAAATCTCAAAACAAAAAATAATCTAAACATACTGAATTATTTATAGGTCTAAATCCTAACTAGGAAAACTTAACCATGAAACTATTATGATTTCTGAATCAAACACTAAGATAATAGATTAAACCAATCTAATTAGAAAATAAATCCTAATTATAGACAATATCTTCCAACATCAACATTTACACTCAAATTACCATCGGATTAGAGACGAATTTTAATTAGTTATGGATTTAGTTAAATTTTGTCGTTAATTTTTCAGTAATTTAATCAAATTATTTTCTATTTTTTTAATTTAAAAAATCACCAACATAATATATTTTATTTTTAATTAAAATAAATTTTATCTGTGTTCCTTTTTAAATATTTTTTTATTTTTGAAA